TTCCTTCACATTTATAGCCTTGGAAACTCAATTGAGGTTAGTCATGAATCAGAAATCATTGGAAGGCAGGGGGTTTACTAGGTACAGCTATACTATGCTAAACACACTCAATCTTCATTATTTGTATAACTTTTATGTGCAAATTTGACTACTAAAATGTGTTAATAATCTTAACATCGAACACACTAAAGGGTCAATTAAGAGTTGTTTCTGACTTCACAGGACATAACAATAATAACAATATTATAAGTACATATTACTAATGATAATGTATGTTGAAAAGAGTTCAGTGTAGTTCACCCTAACATAAAGATGCTGTAAATCAGAAATTAGCTCTACTTGGATACACAGGACTCATATCAGATTTGGTGCAGGGGTAGATGTATTTATAATCCTCAAACCCAAATAAATTTGCAGTGTGTTTGCACATGTGTGCTGAACAGTGAAAAATTTTGAGTCATCCATCACACTGTCTCTCAAACAAGGCCATGTGCTACCTTCTGGTTTCAACTCTTCTACTACTGACAATTGTCCTTTTAAAAATTAATGTCATGTTTTCTGCATTTTTGGTGATTTTGCTATTTAAAATGTCCCCTAGTTGCAGCGCTAAAATGCTATTCTTCCTAAAGCAGAAGAAGCCTGTGATGTACCTTATAGAGAAAAGATGAATATTAGATCAGCTCTGTTCAAGTCCAGATAGTTCAGTGTTTTGTTTCATAAAACAGCCTAATAAATATTGGCAGTACCTTATGTATTAAATTGCAGGATATCAGATTTTTTTGGACCACCAAAGGAATACACAAATTTGTCTTGGAAGTAGTGTAGCCAGAAGTTCCTTGGAGGCAAAGATAACCAGAGTTTCACAAATTTTGGGAATGTTGGTTAACAGGAAGGACCATGCTCCCTGGAGAAGGACATCACAGTTGGTAGAGGTCAATAAGTAGAGAAGAAGGCCCTTAAAGGAGATAGATTAACACAGTGTCTGCAACGATGCACTCAAACAGAGCAGCATGTGTGAGGATGGCACAGGATGGGGCACTGTCTGGTTCCATGCCCGGCCCCTCTGAGTTGGAGATGACTTGACAGCACCTACCAACAACCACCACACTTTTTAAATTTAAACCTACAAAACAGTAAGTTCAAATTGTTCATCCTAACTACATCATTTGTCTTCTACATGAAGTGAGTACTACACGTTTTGCAGATAAGAAGATTGACGTTTTAATTTAAAAAGAGAAAGGCTCTCATCCATATTATGCTATTGATATTTTCCTGGAATGCACTTCTGTGTGTAAACAATGGGGCCTGAATCGTAACAATTCCTTTTTCTTAACTTTCTCAGTGACCTTGGATAACTTTTTATTTTTTTAACTTTATTGAGATTTTAATGAAAGTTTATAGAGAACTTGGATTTCCATTCATTCATTGTGGTACATTTTCCTCCTTGCCCCCTACCCCAGTTCACTTTTTTCTTTGGGAAAAAAAAAATTCTTTCATTGTTATACACAGTCTTCTCCCTCCCCAATTCACTTTACTACGCAGCTCTTACTCTAGACTCCTGTCATGCCAATAATGCCTAATCATATATTCCTTTTATACAGTTCTCTTCCTTGTCTTTTTCAATGTTGTGGACATTATTTATTCCCTCTTTTCTTAGTTTCTCCCCAACCCCCATGTCAGTCCTATTTTATAACAGTGGCATTATGTAGTAATTGTCTTTTTGTGACTCATATATTTCTTTTTTTTTTTTGTGACTCAGATATTTCACTCAACATAATGTCCTCCATGGTCACCCATTTTGTATAATATTTCATGAGTTCTTTATTTTTCAGTGCTGCATAATATTACATTGTGTGAATGAATATATCACGGCCTCTCTATCCATTCATTTGTTGATGGGCACTTGGGTTGTTTTCAATGCTTTGCTATTGTGAACAAAGCAGCTTTTTAATAAAAACATTTATTATTTAAAGAAATGCTTTGAAAATTTATTTATGAACGTAAACTGTAGGCATTTTAAGAAACTAAACTTGATGCTTTTAATGTACTTTCTCACATGGAAACTTTAGATATTTCAGTCCAGCATTTGCCCACCTACACACTGAATGAATAATGCTTAAATTGATGAGAATGACCTCACAACGAGTACTGAACATCCCATGGACTGCATAAAGAACAAACAAATATGTCTTGAAGAAAGTGCAGCTTGAGCTCCTTGGAGGAAAAGATGACAAAGCTTTGCCTCACATACTTTGGACATGGTGCTAGGAGAGGCTATTACTTAGAAGGATAGAGGGCTGGAAAATAGGAGGAAGACCCTTAACCAGATAATTGACATAGTAACTACGGCAATGGACTCAAGTGTGTACAAGTGTGAGGATGGCACAACATGGCACAGAGTTCAGGTCTGTTGTTCATAGGATTTCTACAGGTCGTAGTCAACTTGATGGCACCTAACAATAACCACCAATTCTGAATCAAGACCATTTTGTTTATGATTATTTTGCACTGACTTATACTGAAATAATATTGCACTCAATTCACAATAGTTCAGAATTATGCTGCTCACAAATTATTATCAGCATCAGTACTACCTAAATGAGAAGACACTATGTTAAGTTACAAAAGAAAAATTGTGAAAGATATAAATTGAACTTTGAAAAAGAGTAATTTTTAAAGATAAGTGACATTCTTTCAACATAGAAAAGGAGTCTGAAGTGTTCCACTCACAGTAAGAAAATGATTGACCAATGCCATATGATTTATCAGCCCTGTATATTGACACCTGGTGATAAAGTGATTAATGCTCTTGGCTGCTAACTAAGAGATTCATAGTTCAAACCCCTTAGTAGTTCCAAGGGAGAAAGCTGTGACAGTCTGCTTGCATATATATTTACAGCTTTGCAAACCCTATAGATCAGTTCTACACACATCAGTCTTAGATGGTTGCGATGAGTTTGAGTCGACTCCATGACAGTGAGCTTGATTTGCTTTGTTAAATGTTAAATCACCGAAGTTCAAAATCTGGCTATAGGTCCTCTGCTAATTTAGTCAATAAATATTTGTTGAGCACCTTATTCATAATCAGTAATTGCCAGCTGTTTTTTAAATTAACCAGCTGATCTCATCAATTAAGATCCGGTGGGGACTTGAAAAGACAAGGTAATGGTGTACATAGTCCAATAGCGATTAATTTTACAAAATATAACAAATGGGACTGATTGTATGAAATACAATGTGAGTGAAGACTAGAGTGAAACACAATGTATATGAACTTTGTAAGCGGATCAATATAAAATATTTTTTTAAAATAGTCCGCTGAATGCTTTGTATCTACTTTTGTGAAAAGGAGATGAACACATATCATCTCCTCTAAATACTGGCAGTATTATTTCATTGCTATCTACTAGAGCCAATCCCACTTGGGCTTCCAGATAGCAATATGGCCTTATCGAGGGTTTAATTTTACTGAATGCTTCAAAGCCTCATTTTTAATATGCCCTATGCTCTTGCTTGGATCCACCCAACTCAATCCCAACAAGGAAGCAGAACAGTTTTGTTTCAATGTGACCATTAAAAGCCAAACATTATTTTTCTTTCATTAAAATAAAGGTGGCAATCTCTTCCCTATTCCTTTAATACTGGAAAAATAATACAATGACATAGTAAGAAATCAAACCTATATTATATATTGCTGAGAAGTGATAAGAATGATCCTTTATTGACCCAAAGAATTATTTTTTTTAATTGGTTTGCTTACAAAGTTCAGTATACATTGCATTTTCACACTATTCTTCATTCATACTATGCTTCATATAATCATTCTCAGGCATTATGTTTCATAAAATCAATCACCAAGAATTTTCAAATGAAGGAAGGGGCCTTGGGTGTTACTATGATCAGTCTTATAATTTTCTAAAGAAAGAACTAGAAAGACCAGGAAGGAGACTGTAGCTGAGGTTCAATAACCTAGTAAGATGGAGAGTTTGGCCTCCTGATCCCTCATCAAGCACTTTTTCTATTATATTGTTATTCTTCACCCACATGTTGGAATACGTAAGTAGTTTTAGAGATAAAAAGAAGATTGAAAGATTTTTTAAAGAGGATATTGTGTATGTGTGTGTGTGTGTGTGTGTGTGTGTGTGTGTGTGTGTCATCAAGCTGGAACCAGCTCATATCAAACCTCTATCAGGTTTTCAGAGGCAAAAATTACAAAGGAGGAGACTGCCCATCTATCTAAAGCAGAGTGGTCAGTGGATTCCAGCTGTACACTTTTTATTTGACAGAGCAATTCTTTACCAATAAGCCACCAGAGCTCCCTCAAAAAAAAAAAAAAAAGGAATTTAGATGTACAGAAAGTATTGTAAAGCATAGACAAGATTTTAGACAATTAAATGCCTAAGGAATGTTACTACTTGATGTTAAGTGAATGATGACTTGAATTAATTAAAATGCCAATTCTTCCTACACCGTTTATTTATTTATTTATTTTGCTCTACTACCTAACAAGTGTTGAGGACTTTCATTCCTAGGGTCGCTATGGATCCCCTACGACTCAATGGCACTTAACAACCACCACCACCACCACCACCTAACAAGGTGTAAAATTATGGCAAATGACTCCAAGGATCTGTCTCTGCACCTATCACATCACCGTTCCAGAGATCAGTCCCCTCCACTGTAAAATAAGGAAACTGGGCTACATCACGTCTCAAGTTCAAGTTCTAACTAATAAAAATTACCTATCTATATTTTTATTATCATTTTTAAGTTAACCTTATAGGGTTTAGAGAAAACAAAATAGCTGATAATGATGAAATTTATAGCTCTATGGTTTTAGAACTGAACTCATCTAATACAAGCATCATATTTCTGGGCTTCCCTCCACTTTCTCTTCTGATTACTCTTATTTTTATAACCCGCAAGGCTATATTCCCATCGCCAATCATCCCAGTCCAAACATAAAGAAACATTCAAAGGAAAAAAAAGTTCTCACATACCCCATGGCGGTCCTCAAAGTATGCCAGGTTTGTTTTGGTTAAAACAAAAAAGCGGACTTTAAAGTTTGAGGGAGAAGTTCTTCTCTTTTGTTGGGACTTCTTGATAAGTTGTTCTTCCAAGAGGATGAAGTTGTTCATGATCCAAATTTTGATAAAGGATGCACCTAGGGCATCACCCTTTAGCACAACCAGACGAAAGAGTTTCTGGAAAAGGAATGCAGCGGGGAGGCAGTTGATCTTCAAAGGCAACTTGCCTCCAACGTTATCTTTCTATCAATGCTCAGTGAGCATTGCACAGCTTCCCCTCTGATGTCAAAGACTATAACCACATCCTTACAAAATTCACAAAAGAAATAAATGTAAAAAAGAGTGTGTACCTTTTGTAAAATGGCTTGAAAATTATTTTTTTTAAGGAACAGAATCAAAATTATATGAAGAACTACAGTTTAATCTGTATAGTTACTAGTTTAGATTATCCAACAGTTGAGTCCTAGCAGAGTTAGGAACATGGGCTCTTGAGTCAAATAGACTTATTTATTTTAGTTTCCTGTTGCTGCTGTAACAATTTAACACAAATTTAAGGAGTTAAAATAGCACAAATTGCTGTTTTGAAGTTTTGTGGTTCAGAAGCCTGTAATGGATTTGTCTGGGCTAAAACAAGCAAATTTTTGAAATTTCTAGAGGGGTATTTTTCTTTGTTCTTTCCAGGCTCTAGAGACACTTATATTCCTTGTTTCATCCTCATTCTTCCATACCAACAATAGTGGATTGAGTCCTTCTCATCTCATCATTCTCACTGTCCCTAGATCCCTCATCCACATTTAAGGTCCTTTGTGAGTATATTGATACATCCTGATAAGCCAAGATAATTCCTTTATTTTAAAGTCATCTGATTAGCAACAGTCTTAAATCCACCTGCCACCTAATACTCCTTTGCCATATAATCTAACATATACCTAAATTCCAATAATTGGAAGCTAGAAGTATACCAGAGGCCATTATTTGACAGCAACAACAGTTCTGGTGACTTAGTGGTAAGGAGTTGTGCTGCCAATTCAAAGGAACACAGTTCAAATTCACCAGCTATTCTGCTGCAAAAAGATGGGCCATCTACCCTCAAGAGATTTACAGCTTCTGAAAAAACACTGTAAGGTCACCTATGAATCGGTTCCAACTTGGCTGTACATAACAACAACAACAACAACAACAGCATGATTCTATCCACCAAAGATTGGTATTTAGCTACATTACCTAACTAAGTAGCCAACAAGCTGTGTTATGCAGATGATACAAACTTGCTTGCTCAAAGTGAGGAGGACTTGGAATGCTAATTGCAGAAGATCAAGGAACACAGCCTTCTATGGGAAATCAGTTCTTCTGTCATCTCTATTCAATTTCCAACTTTCAAATGCATAGGAAATAAGTGAAAAGATCGTGACTTGCATCAAGCACACCATAGTATTTAAACAGATTTTGCTGCTCTTTAGCACTTTGGGAAGGTGCTTGGCAGTAGATTTTTACAGTGCAACACATCTTTTATTTTTTTCTCTTTTTTAAATTTTATTTTATTAATTTTAATGAACATTTACAGAGATTTTGGATTTCCATTCATTCATTGTAC